TATCTGTAATGTAGTTTCTAGAATATTGGTATATATGTAATAAAGCAGATCGTTACCACTTGGTACTGAGAGACACATTCTACTGATTACTATAAGTGGAAAGGCAGACGCAGCGGTCCGTTGCAGGAAGGCAAAGCTGCTTTGACAGAGATCGGAATAAAGAAAATTAGGATAAAGAACCTTACTTGCGGTCTCTCTGTTGCACAACCGAGTCTCGTCTTAATTGGGAAATTGCATGATAAGTTCGGCCGATATAAGACAAAGTCGGGGCAATACTGTAGAAAAAGTTAAACTGGAGTAGTAAGGTGACGAACGTCACAGAGGGGGCGCGTGAAAGTGCGTTGGTAATTTCGTCTTGTAAACCAAGGAAATAGATAAAATTACATCAAACGCAATAATTGTCAGTCCTTTACTTGTAGCTTATCATATCACTGAGGAATTAAGATTGTAAGTATCCTATGCAATGGATATATGCTACCAAGATACTGAACACAAACTCATTGAAATTATATAGGAATACAACGGCATATATACCATATTTGTTGAATTCCCTTAAAAAGGAGGTTAATGCGATCTTATTACTGACTTCTGATAAGTAATGAGGTCGCATCGAATGATGCCAAGTTAAGTACTAGAAATAATTAATTACCAGCATATTAAAGGTATTTTCATGTAGATGTGAAAAACACGTTAATAAAGTGGAGTATAGTGATCGTTAAAATAATAAATACATAAATTGACTTCATTGATAATTACTATCAAAATTAGGCCATGAGCACGAACTGTACCATGCTAAAAATATTGACATAGTGTGAAGCAAAGTACAGATATTTTGATGGAATTACATTTCAAATCTGGAATGAATAAAAATATTACAGTTGTAAAAATGAAAAAAAGAACACAAACTCGTCTAACACGAAACATGTACTAACACGAAAAATATACGTACTTAGGTCAGACGAAGTCAAAGGAGGTACAGCTCAATGAAAATCTACGAATAAACTGAAAAAAGCACTACCTGCATTTCTTTTACGTTATAAAGCGAAACAAAAATGATGAAATTTAAACTAATATTATGTATCTAATTGAAGAAGCGATTTACACGCGAAATAATGAAATATGCATGAAACATTTCTGAAAACCCTAATATTTTGATAGTTTTGATACATGTTTGCCCTTTACGCACACATGCCTAGAACCTGTAGAAACATCTTTTCGTTTTGTATGCCTCTACCTTGTTACAATTTGATACACTTTGATATGTTCCTGTGCCCTTTTAGCAATATATCAATTATAGGTTCACTCGATATAAGTAAAATTTGAAGTCAATCATGACGATCGCTAGAACGAATTGACTTTGGTGGGATGAATGGCTTCAAAATCATTTTGTATCTCTATGATAAAACCCAATAGGCTCAAAAATATAAAAGAAGAGGCTCTATATCTTGATTCGGTGATATAAGTCAATCAATAAGACAAGTAAATGGCTGTGATCATTGAATTATCCAGCTGTATGATTCGGACAAAGCTCAACTCGCGGTGGATACGATAAAATGCAAAACACTTATCGTATAAAGTACAATGTATGTAATTAATGTCAGTACAAACTTCAATGATTTCGTGTTTTGTAGTGATCATTACACAGCATGATAGAATGTTAGGGGTTTTGGGATGCTACACAAATGGTCTAAAATGTTAGATGAGGATGGGATTATATTATGGCGAAGGAGGGATACCCTAGAGGGAAGATATTTAATGTATATCAAGCTCTAAGAATAGTTTCAGTGGAATGGGAGGGGAGAAATTTGTGGCTCATTGTTATATAACCCTGAACAAAACTCGTTGTAATAAGAATATCGCTTAATAATTAACAACTTTTCAACTGACCATGAACAACGAAATTAAATTATTAGAATTGGCAGACTTACCTTCGTGGCCAAAGTAGGGGACAGTTAATTACATTAGTTGCTATGCAATCGACGGACGAGAGAAAAAACATATAGTTGCACTGAATATTAATATCAGTGACAGTAATAAAAGTATGGTAGGTAGTGAGTAAGGGAAAAGCATGCAGAAGTCAGCGGATAAGGAGGTGTATATATTCAAAATGAAGTAAAGGAGATTAAAAACAAAATTAATAAAAATGGTCACATCAACAACAAAACAAAGTGTCTACTTTAATGTAATAAGAGAACATACAACAAAGCAAGCTAAGCAAGCAAAACAATAGTGGATTGAAGAACAACGATGAATTAAAGGGGAAGAGGGCTTCAAGGTGAGAGACCAGAGCTATAAAAAAAAAAAAAAAAAAAAAAAAAAATGCAACTATTTCTTCGTTCCGGACTATAGCAAATGCATATTGATCATCATGCCAACTCTATTTAAGCAATCAATAGGCTAGGATTGGAGTGGGAATAGAACCGGACTGCCAGATGGCAGTCAAGACTGTATGCAAGCCCGGTGCCATAGGTTCAATCCCAACCTTTAGCAGTTCAGCAGG